CATCCATGTATTTCTAATCCATTCCTCCAATCTTATTGCAATTGTAATCATCTTTCCTTGACTAATTTCTTCCTCCTATCACCACTTGATCAATCTTCCCATTTGAAAATCAGCAATTCCTTTTGATGGTATGGACGATTACATAGGTCACAGGGGTTTTAAAGGTATGGGTATTTTTAGCAATATAAAATAAATAAAGTTATAGGTTGTTTGAAAGGTTGGGCAAAATAAAATATTTTTTACTCAAAGATTAAGCGTAAAGAGATGAAATAAAAAAATTTTTTTTGCTTTACCAAGGACAAATGTATTAAAATTTGATAAGAAATAAAAATGAAATAAAAAGAAATGTTCCACTGCTACCAAATTGTATGAACTTGGTTATGTTTGCTGTGGGTTGGGTTAATAAGTTATTTCCACCAAGAAATAACAAGAAAATAAATGAAATGCTGGTTTAAACAGAAAACAATTTCCTGATTTTCTTTATTAAGATTTCATGTAATTTATAATCAAAATTACAAATAACAAAATAGGAAATAAATAATAATCTGAGATTTAGAAATCAAATCCAGATTAATACAAAATATAAAAATAAGATAAAATGATTTGATAATAATAGAATAATATAATAATAATAAATGATAAAATAATAAAATAATAAAATAAAATAATAATTATAATACTTATTAAATAGGTAAAAATAAAAATGTTACAGTGTGATACAAACTCTGAGACTAATAGGTGAAAGTGTTTGAAATACTCTACATATTTGTGACAATAAAAATAATATCAATGATAATTTTCTTAATAAATTTAGTAAAGGAGGAAGATGAAAGAAAAGATTATCAATTGATAAAATAAAATTGTGAATTTCAATCAATTATATGGTAATTATATATATACAGTATATTTCTATTATTTGATTGAAATTAATTAAATATTTTTTATTGTTAGAAATGTGTAAAATGTTGCTTCACTTTCAAGGCAGTATCCTGTATACAAATGTATAATGTATGGAAAGGTATGTGTAGATGAGAGTGGAGAATGAGTGCAGTGTGATGTTGTTATGGAATACTATGATTTTTATTGACTTTATTTATTTGAATATATTTAAATTATTAAGTCTTATTCTTAATTATTTTTAATTATTTTTATTTTAATTAATTAGTTTAATTAATTTAAAGTGTTTTTAATAAGATGGTCAGTTATTTGATGAAAGGAGGTTATTTTGTAATGAATTAATCAATAGATTAAATTTAGAAAAACTTATGAATTAACTGATTGATGGATTTAGATTATGAATTTTGTTATTGACTCCATAGTTAAGTTAGTTAATTTATTTATTAATTTGATTATTATTGTCTTTATTACCTTAATATCTAATAATATTTCATATTTTTTATTCTTTATTTTTTATTATTATTTTTATTTTTGATTTTTATTTTTGATTTTTTTTTATTTAGAAAATATGCCATAATATATTAAAATAGTCATTAAAATAGAAAATATATTAAATGAAAAATATTTGTGTTCAAAAAGTGAAAATAGAATGGTGTGCTTATTTATTATTATTTTAATTATATTTTCAAGTTTCATTTTTGTGGATTACTACAAAAAATTCGCTCAGTCTATTCTTAGGCATTTTTATAATTTTTCAACTTAATTGTTATTTTTTATTTTTAAATAATTAATTAATATACTATTCATAGTGCACAATGCATAATACAACACATAAACATTTATAGATATGGATAAAAAACAAAAAATGGATCAATGATCGTTTTTTGGATTTTTTATGCATGAATTATTGTTTGACTGGCATAAATTAGTTTCATTAATCAGATTTAGATCATTCCAAATGAACTTTACAATGTTTTAATTTAGAAATCTGATAAATCAAATAATAATAATAATAATGCCATTCAGTAAATTTATTATTATAAATTTTGGGAGTCATGGTGGAACTAAGGAGGTCACAATGGGGAAAGAGGTAAATTAATAGTGAACCTTTCTAAATATCCCTTAAAAAATTTAATTTTTGTGAGGAGGTAAACACTTTATGATTGATTCATTTAAAAAAATCTTTTAGGTGGCTAAAATTTGAACTTGGATGAAATGCTAATTCAGATCGAGGTGTTAGAGGTAGAGGAAACAGGTTGGCAAATTTGGAACTAAAAGACTTTCTAAAGTGATCAATGAACCCATAGACATGAAAGTAATTTAATTAATTATTTTTTAAATGAAATTCTCTTAATTTCCATAAAAAATTACATAGTAAATGTATACAGTTATTTAATATTTATTTGTTTCTATTAATCAAACATTTATTGATTATTTCGATTTTCATGTATTTTTCCATGTTATGGTGAAAAGGCTAAAAATAAAATGTCTTACTATTTTTATTTTTTTTTTAATCTACCCAATGTATAGAATAATCAAAAAACAACCACAAACTTTAATTAATACAGGAGAAAATATTTTTGAGTCAGCCACTGATTTAGAAAACTCATATAACTCATATGAATGTGTCATTAATAAAGTGTACCTATCTTAGCATCACATCATATCTTAATTTGGTTTTTTCAAAGTCAGTTAAAATGTTCTAAATTGCAATAAAGTTAAAAATGTTAAATTCGAGATTATTGATTAATTTTAAAAATTAGATAGGCTAAATAAGTCTTCTTTAATAATAAATGAACTTCGTACAAAAACGGAATTTAGAAATGGATTCCTTGATAAAATAAAAACATAATAAAAAAGAGATTTCTTAAATTTTAAAAATATATGAACAATTAATTAACCGAAATAGTATTTTTTATTTAAACTAATACAATCAAAGCAGAGATATTAAAGAATGATCTCTTTTTTCTGCTTTACTTTAATTTCCTATTCTACATCAATAAATTTTATTGATATATCATATCATAAGCATTAGCATTTAAGGTGGTCGATTCATTGGACGTTAGTATATTAGGATCTATAAATTTAATAAATTCAAAATTTTAATAATTTAAATTTAATTATAATTATTTATTTATTAAAATAAAAAATTGAAAATGTTTTAAAAATATACCTGAAGATTTTCCAGATTTTATTTCTTCCAACAAATCATGCAATCCATGAAGAGTATAAATATTTCGGCTAATATAACATGATTGAGGATGTAACTTATTTGAATGTGAAAATAATTCAAATAATTCTTGTTTTTGAGATTTTGATGTATTTTTTTGATTTTCATCAGCAATTTTAAGTTGGCGCGTAACATTATTATCCACTATATTAAATAAAAGTTTCACCTTTATATCTAAAAATAAATTATATAATTCATCAGCAGTTGGACGTTCGGAAGGATCATCACTCCAACATCGATACATCAACTTTAAATACCACTCTGGAATCCAATTTAACATAAAATAAGGGACCTTTGGTCTTACACCATTACATATATCAATCATCAAATAAGTATCATGTGCTTGGTCTGCAAATGGTCGTTGTGCAGTAACTATTTGATACATAATTCCACCAAAACTATAAATATCACCTTCCCTTGTAAATTTATTTCCTCTTAACACCTCAGGTGGAATATATGGAATTGATCCATAAATTGTGTCATTTTTATTATTATTATTTAAAATTAAATTATTTTCTAATCTACATAAATCTAAATCAATATACACGGCATTGTATGGAATGAGTTTGATAATACTTCCACTATGAAGGCCACAATAAACTAAATTATTTTGGTGTAAGGCTCCAAGACCCTCTGATATTGATGATAACATGTCTATTTTAGATAGCCACTTTAAATCCCAAAATTTTTTGGTTAAAAATTTATTTAAGTCATCATCATATAACTCCATAACAATAATATAGTTTTGTGTTGAAGGATTTTTTGAAATTCCATAATATTTAGCAAATACATAGTTTTGAACAATCATTATCTTAATATAAAAATATTAAAAGATAAATTAATAAATTACGGAATATTAATAATGCTTCGTAATAACTTATATTCTAAATATAACGAAACATACCACTTTAAGAAATTCAACTATATCATATCTAGAATCTTTTATTTCTTTTAAAGCTACATCGTAGCCAATTAAATCATATTCCCAATCTTGTTTGATAAAATTCCAGTTCCATTTTATTCCATTTTCTAATTCTGCAGAATGCACAGATCCATGACCACCATCTGCTATGTGTTCGATATTTTGAAAATTATCATAAGGTATCCATTGCAACTTTCCAAAGGTATTTGTTAGTGATTCTTGGATAATCTTATCAATATTAGAATTCCCACTAGACCAAGTTTTAAATTCTTGGATAAAATATTCTTTGGTGCACAAAGCACATTTTCCATCGGAAAAAATGAAATTTGGACAATCTGAATAAGCAAAATCTTCGGAAGAATGTCCTGCTGGACAATACTTTATTTTTTCTATTTTTTGAGACATGGGAAATAAAAGAATATTTTTTATTGAATATTTTAATTCCGAATTTATAAATAGTAAAAAATTTATTGAATGATGGTAATCATTGCCTTTTCTGATAGTTTGTGCTAAATTGCTTTATTATAATTTATTGTACAATGGTAAAACCATTGTACATGTAAGGAAATACCATTGTTACATTTTTTTATGCATCAAAAGGCAAAATATCAAAAACGTAACTTCTGTCCAACTTTTTTGATAAGGATCAATGACTTACAATGGTTTACCGTGTTGTAAATTATATAATAATAAATAAAAATACAATTTAGAAATCAAAAATTAACAAAACTACAAGATAAAATTAATATTTACTTGAATTTCAAGAAATTTTCAATTTCTTTTTTTATATCTTTCTCTTATCTTAATTAACCCTTTCTAAATTTTTTTGGGAATCATAACCCAATCCAAGTTTGAATGCTTGTTTCAATTTCCGGCTCTCCATTAAAATTATAAATATTTCGCTTGATGAAGTTGGCTTATTGGTCTTTAAAAATAAATTAAGATCTACTAATTTAAAATTTTAAATGTTTTAAAGTTTGTGATCGCTAAAAATTATTTAAAAAATATATCCTGTTGATTTGAAATCTTCAAATAAATAATGCAATCAACTATGAAATTGTTAGATAATTAAAATAATTCTTGTATTGAGATTTGATGGCTTTTTGTTTATTTTTAATAATATTATTATCCATTATATCATCAAAAAGCTTCCGATACAATTGATTCTTATCTCGGACCTCTACAATTATGGAATCCTAAAATAATTCGAACCCAACTTCCATATCCTCCCCCACGCGGAAAAACTCACGAAAATCATCACAAGTCTCTTCATCTCCTGCATCTACATTACATTTGATGCAAACTCCTTCTTTGTTACCGGCTCCAACTCAAAATCAAATACATCAACACATTTCTACCCAGCTAATAATAACCATGATAATCGTCTGATTCTATATCAACAACCCGATCAATCTCAACAACATCACAATATCCAATTCAATTAGCATCATCAGAATTCATTCAATAATGATTATTTCAACTGGAACTTCATATAATTTCATCTCAGATGATTCGTAATTCTTATAATTTGACTCAGCACAATCACAACGAATCCGATCTGCTTCTCTTTCACAACTTCACCATTAACAATAACAGTAGCAATGACAACAAAGACACTGATCTGCCGCTTCTACGTGATCAAGTACTGGAATTTTCCAATACAAACAACCAATAGAATTCCAAATGAACACTTTTCTTAATCTGTCTTATTTCTTCTTGATTTGAATGAATATTGTCATTTTTCTTTGAAAAACAAGCGCCGAAAGGAACTTCACATGATACTTTTGGTTCTTAAATGGAAAAATTGTTGGTATTTTATTTTAAATATAATTTTTGCATTAGTATTCATGGTTTTTCTAATTTTCTAGTCCTGCTGAGACAAACTAATTTTGAAATTAAATAAATAAAAGCAACATGCGTTCATGAAAAGTTATGAATGCATGATTGCATTAAGAAATGATCCCATGTAAAATCCGTGTTAACAATTAATGCAAAAAAAAAATTGACAAGATTCATATTGATATTAGACTACAGTACACATTAATTTATAAACCATGCTTTATCAAAGTTGTGAACATTTATAAAAAAGTTTATATGAGTATATATTTTTGAGTCAGTCGCTGATTTAGAAAATTCATATGAGGGTGTCATTAATAAATGATCATATATCTTAATGTACCTTGTTCACAGTCAGTTAGCATATTCTGAAATTGCAATAAAATTGAAATGTTAAATTCGAGTTTATTAATAAATTTTAAAAATTAGATAAGTTAAATAAGTTTTCTTTAATAATAAATGAACTTCATACAAAAACGGAATTTAGAAATGGATTCCTTGATAAAATAAAACTATAATAAAAAAAGAGATTTCTTAAATTTTAAAAATGTTTAAAACAATTAAATAATTAAAATAAATGAAAACCTAATTCATTCTTTTTAATTTTCTTAACTGAAATTGTATTAATTCAAATAACAAATACTATCAAAACAGAGATATTTAGAATGATCTCTTTTTTCTACTTTACTTTGAATTTCCTATTCACATCAATAAATTTTGATGATGCATCGTCATGTTAGCATTAACATTTAAGGTAGTCGATTTATTGAACTTTAGTATATTAGGATCTATAAATTTAATAAATTCAAAATTTTTAATAATTAAAATTTAATTATAATTATTTATTTATTAAAATAAAAAATTGAAAATGTTTTAAAAATATACCTGAAGATTTTCCGGATTTTATTTCTTCCAATAAATCATGCAATCTATGAAGAGTATAAATATATCGGCTAATATAACATGATTGAGGATGTAACTTACTTGAATGTGAAAATAATTCAAATAATTCTTGTCTTTGAGATTTTGATGTATTTTTTTGATTTTCATCAGCAATTTTAAGTTGTTGCATAACATTATTATCCACTATACCAAATAAAAGTTTTCCTTTTACATTCAAAAATAAATTATATAATTCATAAGCAGTAGGACGTTCGGAAGGATCATCACTCCAACATCGATACATCAACTTTAAATACCATTCTGGAATCCAATTTAACATGAAATCTGGGACCTTTGGTCTTACACCATTGCATATATCAATCATCAAATAAGTGTCATGTGCTTGGTCTGCAAATGGTCGTCGTGCAGCAACTATTTCATACATGATTCCACCGAAACCATAAATATCACCCTCCCTTGTAAATTTATTTCCTCTTAAAACCTCGGGTGAAATATATGGAATTGATCCATAAATTGTGTTATTTTTGTTATTAACATTTAACATTAAATCATTTTCTAATTTACATAAATCTAAATCAAAATAAACGGCATTGTCATTGTATAGGGTGAGTTTTAAAATAATTCCACTATGAAGTCCATAATGAACTAAATTATTTTGGTGTAAGGTTCCAAGACCCTCTGCTATTGATGATAACATTTCTAATTTAGATAGCCACTTTAAATCCCAAAAATTTTTGGTTAGAAACTTGTTTAAGTCAATATCAAATAACTCCATAACAATAATATAGTTTTGTGTTGAAGGATTTTTTGAAACACCATAATATCTAGCAAATTCATATTTATTAACAATATTTACCTTAATATGAAAATATTAAAAGATAAATTAATAAATTACGGAATATATAATAATTGTTCGTAATAACTTATATTCTAAATCCAATGAAACATACCACTTTAAGAAATTCAACTATATCATATCTAGAATCTTTTATTTCTTTTAAAGCAACTTTGTAGCCAATTAAAACATATTCCCAATCTTTTTTGATAAAATTCCAATTCCACTTTATTCCATTTTTTAATTTGGCAGAATTCACAGATCCATGGCCACCATCTGCTATGTGTTCGATATTTTGAAAATTATCATAAGGCATCCATTGTAATTTATCGCAAATGCTATTTATTTGAGATTCTTGGATAATCTTATCAATGTTAAAATTTCCACTAGACCAAGTTTTAAATTCTTGGATAAAATATTCTTTGGTGCACAAAACACATTTTCCATCAGAAAAAATGAAATTTTGGCAATCAGTATATGCGAAATCTTCAGAAGAATGTCCTGCTGGACAATACTTTATTTCTTCTATTTTTTGAGACATGGAAAATAAAAGGAATATTCATTATTGAATATTTTTATTTCGAATTTATAAATAGAAAATAATTCATTTGAATGATGGTAATCATTGCCTTTTCTGATAATTTTATTTATGCTAATACTAAATTTCTTTATTAATCCGCCGAAGCATCAGTACATACTAGGAAATGGTAAACCATTGTATAGCGTAGGACATTCATGTTCGCGTAAGGAAATATCAAAGTTACATTTTGATGCAGCAAAAGCCAAAATATCAAAACGATATTATTAATTATATTATGCCACGGACTTACCATATTATAAATTATATTTTATCGTGATATGTGATCGTCATCTAATAATCATTATCAAAAATCGGATAGACGTTTTTGTTAAAAATATAACTTTGGTATTGCTGAAAAAAATAAAATTCTACGGTATTCATCTTTGTGGGGGGTAGATTTTTCTTCAAGATTATTAAGTAAATTTCTGAAAGAAATAAGTTTGCTATAATAAAAATTATATCTTAATTAGAGAGAAAAAGCATGTGATTTTGTATTAACCCTATAAATAATCATAATAAATAAAATAAATACCTTATTTCTCGTACGCTAAATAATTACAAAAAAAAAAAAGGTCTTACCTTGAAGTTACTACCTTGTGGTGCCAAAAACATAAGCACTGATATCCCAAATTCCTTAACATTAGAAATATAATTTTTTCTCAATTTTAAAATATGTGCTTCGCGTTATAGTCAAAAAAAATTTAATTAATATGTAGAGGAAATTGCATTTCGCATAAATAAGTAGTAAAAAAAAACTCTAATAAAGTCATTTATATAAGTCTCTATTGACATATATTTGAGGCTATGTGTACGCGAAAATAATTTAAGATAAATAAATCAACTAGATATCCTTTAATAATAAATGAGTCACATACAAAAATATATTTAAGAAAATTAACTCAATGATAAAATTAAATAACAATAAAATATTGATTATATTGATATTTGATTCCAAATATTTCTAATTTTTTATTTTTTGCTAAAATAATATTTCTTTAAATTTTTTGGGAATCAAACCGATCTAAGATTGAAATATTAGAGAATGTTCATTTTCTATTTGACTTTGAAATTCCTATTCCTCATCAATTGATTTTAATAATCGTTTAGAAAAAGAATTGGAATTTAAAATATTTGATTCATTGTGCTTTAATAAATTAGGATCTATAAATTTAAAAAATTCAAAAAATTTAAATAATTTGTAATTGATCATTTATTTAAAATTGGAATTATTCAAAGAATATACCTGAAGATTTTACGGATTTTATTTCTTCCAATAAATCATGTAATCCATGAAGAGTCATGGTAAAATAAATCAAAACAAATACTCATTGTTACAAATATGTTACATAAAATTAATTTATTTTGATTATTATTATTATTGATCGCGTAGTCATATATTTGATAACCTTCTTGCGGTTTAAAGAATGCTGCCTAATCTTTTGGTGGTTCACAAATCTGTAATAAATGAATAAAAATAATATTTAATAAAATTGATAAATAGATAGAAAATTATAGATCAACGCAAATTATAATCTGAAATTTACCTTCTTTAAACCAAGACCTAATCGTAAATCAACAGAAATAATCTTTTGCTATAATATTAGGATTCATTAGTAGACAGATCCTTTTCCTATTAAGTAATATCTCAGCGATATTTGAGAAAGTCATTACAATTATTTTTGGGAAGATGACGCCCAGTCTAAAGAAAAAAATTATTAGAAAGGATTAGATATTTTTTAAACTAACCAGTAAAATACGAAATAAATATGTGAGACAATTGTTAAAGCTTGAAACTTTAAAGTTTAACGTGTCTAATGTTGGTCGAGTAAGTTTTAAGCATCTCTCCAGTCTCAACTAACTTTTCTAAATTTCTGTCCATCACAACATCATCGGTATTTCATCTCATTCATAATATTGGTATCCAACTCCAAAAGAATTTTCGTCCTTTTTTTTAAAAGATTTTTTCATAATAATTGAGATTATGCTACAGTTCTCATTTTATTAGAAACGGTCTTTTCAACAACAACTTTATCTTCGAATTTATGTACATTACACAAATTTTAGAATCTGATATTGGAAAAAATAAAAAAAATTAAAAATTTATCGCAAAAAAAAAAAAAAAAATTAAACATATGATATTACCTTTTGAGAATAAAATTTGTCATTTAATATTTCCGCTTTTTTAAACTTTTTTTTTCATTTTTTTTATTTCTTATTTTATTATTTTTTTATTGAAATTTATTTTTTTTTTTATTTTTAATCTTTTTTTTTATAATAGAATTATTACTATTAGAAATGTTTATATATATTTTTTTTAATATTTTATGTTTTTTAAAAATTGCCAATCAATTAATAATACAAGACTATGTATTATTATGAAATACAAAATTCTGCGTTATTCATACCCCGAGATCTTTGCGGAACTTTTAAGAATTTTGTCTTTTCAAGTTTATTATAAACAAATCGCTGTAAAGAATATGCTAAAAATAAAATTCATTTTCTTAGAGAAAAGAGAGAAAGCATGAATTCTTGTGTTAATCCAATAAAAAATTATAATATACCTTATTTCATCCATTTTCAATTTTTTCTTAATTTACAAAATAACATTTTGCCTATCTTATATTGGTCTTCCCGTAGTGTCAAAAAATATAAAACTTACCTTGAAAGGCATCCCTCAATCCTTTAATAATATAATTGTTTCCTTATTTAAATATATATTAGATGTTTATATTTCAAGTATAATCGAATTCCGACACCTAAATACAAAAAAAAAAAATAGTCTCGTTAAGTTATAATAGATAATAGAATAATAGAAGAAAAAAAATCTAAAAAAGTTCATTTCTATAATAACATATATTTGAGGTATGCTATGCACGTGAAATTAATTTTAAGATTAAATAAATATCATTTAATCATAAATGAGTCCCATACAAAAATATATTTAAGAAAATTTACTTCTATGATAAAATTAAATAACAATAAACTAAAAAATTATATAAGATAATATTGATATTTGATTCTGAATTTTTCATTTTTTTCTATATTTTTATAAAAATAATATCGTTATCTATACTAATGTTTCCTTAATCAAATCCGATCCAAGGTTGAAATATTAGAATGATCATTTTCCATTTGATTTTGGATTTCCTATTCTTAATAATTCTTTAGAACAAAAATAATAAGAAATGGTCCTTAAAAACGTTGTTTCGTTGGGCTTTATAAATTAGGATCTATAAATTTAAAAAATTTAAATAATTTATAATTATCATCATTTATTAAAATTAAATTTTTTAAGAATATACCTGAAGATTTTCCAGATTTTATTTCATCCAATAAATCTTGCAATCCATGAAGAGTATGAATAGATCGGCTAATATAACATGATTGTGGATGTAACTTATTTGAATGTGAAAATAATTCAAATAATTCTTGCTTTTGAGATTTTGATGTATTTTTTTGATTTGAGTTTGCAATTTCGAGTTGTCGCATAATACTATTATCCACTTCTTTATAACAAAGTTTTTCAAATATTTCCCAAAACAAATCATTTAATTCAGTAGAAGTTGGACGATCGGAAGGATCAGCACTCCAGCATTGATACATCAACTTTAAATACCATTCTGGAATCCAATTTAACATAAAATCAGGGACCTTTGGTCTTACACCATTACATATATCAATCATCAAATAAGTATCATGTGCCTGGTCAGCAAATGGTCGTTGTGCAGTAACTATTTCATACATAATGCTACCAAAACTATAAATATCACCCGCTTTTGTAAATTCATTTCCACTTAATACCTCAGGTGGAACATATGGAATTAATCCCGAAATTTTGTTATTTTTGTTGTTAGAGTTTAAAATTAAACCATTTTCTAATTTACATAAACCTAAATCTATTCTTAAGTATAAGTCAGCATCGAAAAAATCGAAATTATAATTCATTAAAATATTTCCACTATGAAGGTTACAATGAACTAAATTTTTTTCATGTGATCTTTTAAGACACTCCGCTATTGATGATAATACGTTGATCTTTGATTGCCATCTTAAATCCCAAAATTTTTTGGTTAAAAACTTATGTAAGTCATCATCAAATAAATCCACAACAATAATGTAATTTTGTGTAGAAAGATTTTTTGAAATTCCATAATATTTAGCAATAGGTCCATATTCATGTTCATTGGCAGTCTTCATCTAAATATGAAAATATTAAAAGATAAATTAATAAATTACGAAATATTAATAATAATTCATAATAACTTATATTTTTAAATATAAAGAAACATACCACTTTAAGAAATTCAACTATATCCAAATTAAAATTTTTTAATTCTTTCAAAGCAACTTTATTACCTATTAAAGTATATTCCCAATCCTGTTTGATAAAATTCCATTTCCATTTTATTCCATTTTCTAATTCGGCGGAATATACAGATCCATGGCCACCGTCTGCTATGTGTTCGATATTTTGAAAATTATCGTAAGATATCCATTGTAATTTTTCATGAATGGCTTTCATTTGAGATTCTTGGATAATCTTATCAATATTAGCATTCCCACTAGACCAAGTTTTAAATTCTTGGATAAAATTTTCTCTGGTACATGGTAAACAAAATTCGTTTACAAAAATATCATAAGAATGACCTGCTGGACAAAACTTGTTTTTTTCTATTTCTTGAGACATGGGAAATAAAAAGAAATATTCGTTATCGAATATTTTTGATTTTTTTTTACATAAACATACTCCGAATTATGGTAATCACTACCTTTTCTTATTATATCTAAGTTTACTTGTGCCACTTTTTTTGATGTTATCTTACCTTTTATGGTATAAGATATTATCTTTTAATCAATAATAATATTTCAATTAATAATAGAATAAATCCAATACAACTCGAAAGAAATAAATTCTAAGATTAGTAAAGAATTTATTGGAATTAATAAATTCTGCGTTATTTAATATCCCGAGATCTTTGCCGATTCTATTATATCTCCGCTTTCAATAATAATTTTGTCGTTTCAGGAAAATTGAGTCAATAAATAAATTGTCATAATAAATATCCCTTTCTTAGAGAGAAAGCATGAACCTTTAAGTTAAGCAATAAATAAATTAAAATAAGTAAAGTAGATACCTTATTTCATCCATTTTTATTTATTTAATTTATGCGTCAAATAAAAACAAAACAAAAGTAGGAAATCTTACCTTGAAGATAGTTATATTATTTTATTTTATTTTATTTTTTTTTGTCTTCGTGCCAAAAAACACAAGTTACTTACCTTGGAAGACGAAATTCTTTTGACATATATATTTCAGCACAAATAATCATTGTTTTTCTCAAGTATTATTGAGTTCAGACACCTAATTAAAAGAAATAATAATAACAAAAGCTTCGTAAAAACTAAATAAAAATCATGTGCTTTGTACGATAACTGATAGTCTCGTTATGTTATGTTATGAAAGACACATTCAAAAAAATTGTATTTCGTTAAATAGGGTAGTAAAAATTCTAGCAAAGTGATTTTCTAAGCATTTTATTTGAAGCATTAAATCGATAAATATGCTAAATTTGAGTCTGTGCACCCGCTAAATATTTATTAAAAAAAAAAAATTAATTAATAAATTATCTTTAATTAATAATAAATGAACCCCAATAAATTATTCATAATGAGAAAATATTTACGATAAAATTTGTATTACACAAAATACAGTAATTCAAGATCTTATATCCTACATTTTTTTCTGTATACAAAAAAAAAACTCATTCAATATATACAAAAAATATGAAATAAGATTTGAGCAATCTTTGAGTTTCTTTGAATGCTCATGCACATGCTCAAGTAAGTAGAAAGTAGAATTCATGTTTTATTATCGAAAAAATATAAATTTTACGAAGGTGAGTTTCAATGTTATAATTTTTCATAAATGTAATAATGTTGTTATAATTATGTTGCGTAATTGCTGAGTTTAAAGGATCATTAATCGCTATAAAGGTTAATCAACTGGACGTATGAACAAAGGGCTAAATCACTTGTAATATTATGATTATTCAAACTTGATTTATGGATTCTTTTTATTTTTTAATTAGATGTATTATTTTATAAATTAATGAAGGTTAATGATGTTCTCGTTGAATGGGATATTTTAATATTTCAACTATTTATTTTCTTATTTTTTCAATTTATAATAGAAAAATTCACACTAGTTTAAAACAAATGATAAAACACAAAAAACAACCGAATATCTAAATTTTATTCGAATGGTTGATAGAAAATGATAATGTAATAAATTAGTTAATATAAAAGAATCATGCTAGCAAGATATTAATATATTCATTCTTAATACAGGTAATACAAATATTTAATATATTTCTTTCTAAAATATTTACTTTTATTATATCTGCTATTTAAATTTTAACAAAGCTTTTATTGTTCTAAATAGTATGAATAATAAACTTCAATAACTTCTCTATCACCTGCTCCAACTCAACCCAATTACATCAAAAAATTTCAATGCAACCTAATAATAAATAATAACCATCATCCGGAAATTTTATTTGGCAAAAACTCGTAATATTGTCACAAATGTGCAGAGTTTGTATCACACAAACTAATTTTTTAATATGCTCTATCTGCCAGTAGGTCAAGCAATCCATCAATTCAAACTTGCCTATCTTGAAACAGATAATAAATATAATATAATTCTTTATAATTCTTTATTTTAATCTGAAGTCTCAGTGAGTAAGGTGGAGTAAAAGTGTCAACACAGTATCAAATAATATTCAACAATATTTTGTAATATCATAACACAAAAGGTAAGTTTATTAAAATATAAAAGATACAAATTTAAAAGTAAAATATCATTTAATGACAGATATATCATGGGCATGTGTCTATTTTACTGTCCCTAAAGAAAGTTTACTTTTCTATCTAATAATATGAATATTCAACTATCTGTAATTATTAATTAACTGAAGTCTAAGAAACTACTAAGACTACCGTTTCTTGTTTCTTGTCTCTAGTGACCACTTCTTTTATACTTTTTCACCTTCATTCAAATTTCACCCATCATCCCTCATCCTCGACATTATCTTTCAGATGACAACACAAGTTATTATCTCATACAATCATCTTAGTGTTACCATTTATCTGCATGCTTACCAATTTACTTCGCCACAATATTATACAACTACATATATTTTACGGGGGCCATTCAGAAGTTAAACCAGAATACGTCAGTGGATATCGGTGCCAAAGGAATAATACATGTATCATCTTGTAGCATATTTAGGGTTTTCAACTTTTTGGCATAAAAATTCTGAAGAAATTAAGGGTATTTTACCATGATTTGTGTGAATTTTTATTGAGATATCTTATAACCAATTGAATGCCTGATTCTGGGCTACAAGATAATACATGTGTTATCTCTGTAGCATCAATATCTGCCAAGATATTCTGGTTTAAATTCGAAATGGCCTGTATAAATACCATAAAGGTGTCCTGATATTATAGTGATTTATGCCTAAAAAAATTTCCAGATGTTGTTATCTCTATTTTATTTTTTTTAATTTATTAATTATTTATTTATATGTTTATATATTTTATTATCTTATTTATTCATATCTGTATTATTTTATTATTAA